ACTCTACATTATCTGTATAGCATGTGTGTAAGACTTGAATACAATTATGAAGTAATAATTTTATGACGAATAAATATTTCAGTGAGTAAAACTGACTGTTTATAGTATTAAAGACTACACAACATTATTATATTATCTTTAAATTAATTTTTAAATGATTATTATTTTAAATTATTGTCCCTGGATTAGGGTACTCTTGTAATAAAGTAGCGGTGGTAGCGGACAGATTTTAAGTATCAATTCTGCTTAAAAAGACGCGATCTAATCCTGTTTGCATGAAATAAGCCTGTTCCCGTGCAGGTTTAAGCTTACGGACCTGTTGCTATGACAGCAACTCCGAGATGAGCTTCGAAGAACCAAACAATCCAAGATCATGCCAAATCGTCAACAATCAAATCCAGCTAACTGAGTTAGCGACGTACGAAGAACGGGCCCCAGATCTGTAACTCTCGGAAAAATTTTTTTATTCTATTGTTGTTTTAATGTAAAAGCTAAGATTTTGTTTCCTTTGTGGTTTAATAATTCATGCATCAGAGGGTTAATTAATTAGTCTAGTGGGAAAATGAGAGCGTGAGTCGAGTCTCATGTTTGTGCACTCCAAGCAAGTCAAACATGTTTATCTTTATCTCAGGATTAATGTGAACTAATCCTGTTGAGATAAAATGGTCAAATAAGGATGTCCAAGATGATGAAAACTCATCTGAATAGTTTAAAATGAATGTGCCATGTTCTTGATGAAAAATAATCTTTGTATTCTTGTTGGTTACATATGAAAAACTTTTATACTATTTTTAAGAGGTTTGATTTAATTACTCTAAATTTGGTGTAACCAAGCAAAAACACATATTTTCCTCTACCAAATACATTTGAAAATACACATCTTAATTATTATTTTCAAAATCTGTAAACATTTTTAGTACATTTTTATAATATGCATAAAGTTTTCTTGGGGTTGTACCATTTGACACCACAAACGGGCCCCAGATCAGCATATTAGAATGATTTCTAAAGGATCATGTGACACTGAAGACTGGAGTAATTCAGCTTTGCCATTACAAGAATTAATTATAGAATAAAATATATTAAAATCTAAATCTCTTAATTAAATTGTAATAATATTTCACAATATTACTGTTTTTACTGTATCTTTGATCAAATAAATGCAGCCTTGGTGAGCATCACAGACTTCTTTCAAAAACATTACAATATATTATAGAAATTAAATGAATAATTATAAAAAAAAAAAAACATTCACTAAATTTACTTAAAGAAAATTTACATTAGTTTTAATTATTTTAATCAAATTTTTTGGGGGAAGAAAAGTTGCAATATAGTATGAATTCATAGTTTCATCATTCATAATACATCTCTTTTTGACCTTACAGTAAGTTCACCTGGTCACTGCATTGGAGCTCATGCCAAAGTAATCAAAGCTGCTTCTGTATAGAGCACCAATCGTCAACACACTGAGGAAATTTAGTTAACTAAACGATCATATAAGTTGAGAACACCATGATTACCTTACACCATTTGATAAGCTGAGCATTAAAGTACAAAGTCTTTTCTTTGATCCAAGCCTAACACTTATCATTTTAGATGAGCATGATGTGTGAAAGATTTACTAGTATTCAGTTGTCTATAAATGGAGAGAAAACGCAGCAGTACGTAGAGAGTAGTGGTTTGCATAAGGGCAGTTTTACCACCAACATGTGTACATAAGATCACATGATTATCTGAGAAAGCCACCCATTAAAGGTCTTGTTTTCATCAATGTCATTATTTACCTGCATAATTCTTCAAGCCTTAAACTTATCATTGTATCTGAAACACTTTTGTCTCAGTGGGTTTTTAAAATGCGTTTTCTTCAAATTATAATTTAAGTGAAAATGTCTTAGTAATTGGGTTGTCCCTTTGTAACTTTAATGGCAGCAGAACTCAAAATGCCTGAACTTAAAAAGTTTGTGTAAAACCAATGATTTGAGATGAATCCAAAGAGCATCTTGAGCTTCAAGGGAAGAAGAAAATCTGACTGTCTGCACAGTCACATGATCAGTGTCACAAATTTACTCATTTAATAAGCTGACCTAGAAATATTTTTTTTGTGGTCTCAGATTTTTGGACCTCACTGTATTCGAATAAATTGGCATTATCTGTGATTTGATAATGCATTGTGTTGCTCTACAGGCTCTGCTGACTGCCGTGACATCACCACACATAGAGATCCACGAGGGAACGATTCTCCTCACTGTCCGCACCTGCTACAACATCTACCTGGCCAGCCGCAACCTGATCAACCAGACCACAGCCAAGGCCACTCTCACACAGATGCTCAATGTCATCTTCACCCGTATGGAGAACCAGGCGGTTAGTATAAAGCATCTCCAACTGCCTCTATTTGGATGTGATGTGTCACCCTAGTAGAATTTGGGGCGACATTATGGTTTAGAAAATTAGACTAAAACTGGGAAACTAGGTTTGACTTTCTTATGGCTCTCTTGTAGGCTCTGGAAGCTCAGGAAGCAGAGAAGGACAGACAACGTCTGCAGCTGCACAATCCTTCTCCAGTATCCAGTAACCCTTCTCCTGTAGCCCAGAATCCTTCCCCAACTCCTGGTCGGGGGTCCGGATCACCATGGCTCGGACAAGCCTGCTCAGAACAGAACGGACCCCCATCCCCCTCACTCAGCCCCACTGGGGTCCCCTCCACTCCTTCCACCCCCCAAGACTCATCCTCCATCAATGGCCAGCCAGAAGAGTCCAAGTCAGAGGAGGAGTTTGCTACTGATAAACAGAGCACAAAGGAAATTGAACAGCCAGGTACAGGGAATCACTGCTGTCGTGATATATGAGAAATTACTCCAAATTGTAAGGTTCTGGCAATTTCCAGTTGTTTTAGAAAGCTGTTTTGATGCACTTTATTTGGGTAGTAGATTCTGTTTTTAATTTGACTGTTCTTAAAGAAGAAGAGATTCAGGAGTCAAACCAGACGACTTCATCAGTGGCAAGAGGTGTTGAGGGAGAGGAGGTCCATCCACAGCCTGAGACAGAAGCAGGCACTGAGTTTCAGGAAGAGACTGAGCCGGACAGTGGATTGGGAGATAGCTCTGTGGAAGGAGGTGCGTCACACTGGAAATAGTTGACTGTAGCTTTATGGGGACCTATGAAGTAGTAGTCACTCCTGCCTCTGTTTCTACAACAGGCTTAGATCAACATTCTGACTCCGAAACCAAAGTGCCGCCCCCTGTTGTTCGAGTCGACACACAGCAGATGAACGGAATGGTGGATGACCGTGGCTCAGAGTCCTCCATAGACATTCTGGTGTGTTTTTCATTTGTTTAATAAGACATACAGGACCGTTCAAAAGTGTGGGGTCAGTCTTTTTTTTCTTCTAATACTCTTATTCAGCTAAGTAAAGTGATTAAATTGAGCAAAAGAGACAGTAAAGACATTAAATGCTGTTCTTTTAAACTTTCTATTGATCAAACAATACTGAAAAAAGTATCACGGTTTTCAGAAAATTATTAATAAGCAGTACAACTTTTTTCAATGTTGTTATTAAACATTGAAATAACAACAAAAATAAAAAGACTTCAAAGACATTAACAAATCTTACAGATCCCAAACTTTTAAACACAAGTGTGTAAAGACATTGTCCATAAAGCCTTTTTTTATTGTGGTCTAACTGTTATTTTGTTTGTTTACTGAACAGGATGCAGAAACCATTCAGGGCAATCAGACAGCTGCCCGCTTTTCGCACATCCTACAGAAAGATGCCTTCCTTGTATTCCGCTCCCTCTGCAAGCTTTCCATGAAGCCCCTGGCTGATGGACCACCCGACCCAAAGTAAGAACCTGGAGAGGACATTTATTTACAGTAGATGAAATATGTGACCCTGGACCACAAAACCAGTCATAAGGGTACATTTTTCAAAATTGAGATTTGTACATCTCAATGTACATGAAAGCTGAATAAATAATCTTTCCATTGATGTATGGTTTGTTATGATAGGACAATATTTGGTCGAGATATAACTATTAGAATATCTGGAATCTGAGGGTTCCAAATATTGAGAAAAATCTAAATATTGAGAAAATCGCCTTTAAAGTTGTCCAAATGAAGTTCTTAGCAATGCATATTACTAATAAAAAATTAAGTTTTAATATATTTACAGTAGGAAATTTACAAAATATCTTCATGGAACACGATCTTTACTTAATATCCTAATGATTTTTGGCATAAAAGAAAAATCTATCATTTTGACCCATACAATGTAATTTTGGCTATTGCTACAAATATACCCCAGCGACTTAAGACTGGTTTTGTGGTCCAGGGTCACATATTAGATAAATCAGTCAAGTAAGTATTTTTTAGCTTTTTTATGTGAAAAACAAGTAAATGACAAATTGTATCTATAGTGTGATCATAAAAACTGAGATGTTACTGGTGGAGATCTGAGTGCTCTGTTTCTGTCTACACTCCCTGTAGAACAATTTTGAATTAATTTGCCATTATTTAGAAAAGTATTCAGTTTCATGCTGCTGTAATTTTTCCATCCCCTCTCTTTCAGGTCCCATGAGTTGCGCTCTAAGGTGGTTTCCCTGCAGCTGTTGCTATCAGTGCTGCAGGGTGCTGGACCTGTGTTCCGAACCCATGAGATGTTTGTGAACGCCATCAAACAGTACCTGTGTGTGGCGCTCTCCAAAAACGGGGTCTCCTCTGTGCCTGAAGTATTTGAGCTGTCTCTTGCCATCTTCCTTACCCTGCTCTCCCACTTCAAAGTGCATCTTAAGATGCAGATTGAGGTAAACTTAAATAAGGTAAAAATATCAACACAAGTAATTAATCATTAAAAAAGACCAACAATATTAGCAGTGCCAGAAAACCATTTCAGAAATGAACCAGAAGAGTACAAACATCTCTTTTTAACTGGTTGCATGTTATTGATATCTCAGTATGTCATATAATTTAGATTTTTTTTTAAACCGATTATTTATTCCGAAATTAATTCAAATGTGGTAAAAATATATAAAAAATAAGTATTTTTTATTTTTTCATCTTTTTATTAAAATATAAAAAGATGAAGTGATTAATCATAAGGAGCCGACAATATTAGCAATGCCACAATACTACATTTAAAAAATAATCCCAGAACAGCACAAACCTCTCCAGTAAAAACTAGTGCATGATTCACTGCAGTGAAAATCTTCTCAAACTGCACTGTTAGTGTGTAATAATTAATTCAGTGTTGATTGGTTAATGATTAATTTGCAGGAGCTGAGTTTGAGAAAGAAAGGGCTGGAGTGTCTGGTGTCCATTTTGAAGTGCATGGTGGAATGGAGCAGAGACATGTACGTCAACCCCAATCTGCAGGCCAACCTTGGTAAGACAACACTGAGGTGTTTTAATCATCTGCATCATCAGAATTTTCTAAGTCTAGACTGTTGCGTTGTAGGTCAGGAACATCCAGCAGAGGGCGACAGTGCGGATGGGAAGCTCCAGGAGCATCTTTCCTCTCGCAGAGATAGTGTGAGCTCTATGGACTCCACTGTGTCATCTGGAGTTCAGCAGTCTCAGCCAGATCACCCCGAGCAGTATGAGGTCATCAAGCAGCAGAAAGAGATCATCGAGCATGGCATTGAGCTGTAAGTTGTCTTTTTTTTTTTTTTTAAGTTTCTTTGTTTTCTTTTCCATATATTGCTTTGACCATTTCTGTGTTTCTTAAAGATTTAACAAGAAACCAAAAAGGGGGTTGCAATACCTGCAGGAGCAAGGCATGCTGGGCACCTCACCAGAGGACATCGCACAGTTCCTGCAACAGGAGGAGCGACTGGACACGGTAAGTTCATGCTTGTTTTCAGACATGGATAAATTAGTAAACCAAGACATTTTGTACTACCGTAGGCTCTGTTGTGTCATGTGATCAGACTCAAGTTGGTGAGTTCCTGGGAGAGAATGTGAAGTTTAATAAAGAGGTGATGTACTGCTACGTGGACCGGCTGGACTTTTGTGGCAAAGACTTTGTGTCAGCTCTCCGTGCCTTCCTGGAAGGCTTCAGGCTTCCGGGTGAAGCCCAGAAAATCGATAGGCTCATGGAGAAGTTTGCCGCCCGCTACCTGGAGTGCAATCAGGGGTGAGTTTTGCAGTCTGTGAAAGAGTTTTATATTTGTTAAGCCTGCTGGGGTTTGTGTTTGTGCTGACCTGTCTGTTGTTCTGTAGGCAGACTCTGTTTGCCAGCGCAGACACGGCTTACGTTCTGGCCTACTCCATCATCATGTTAACCACCGACCTGCACAGTCCACAGGTAAGACTACTTATTGTTTACTCACTGTCTCCCTTCTCTCCCTTTGCTTTGCTTTGTACTTGCTAAGACACCTTGGCAACTAACCAGAACCTTGGCAACTGCAAACCCACACTCTTGCAACCATCCAGAACACCCTTGCAACTTTTTGCAACTGCTAAAAAAAAAGCATGCTTGTTTTTCTTTCCGTAAAATGTAAAAATCTAGTTTTCTCTTCTCTTCAGGTGAAGAACAAGATGACGAAGGAGCAGTACATAAAAATGAACCGTGGTATTAATGACAGTAAAGACCTGCCCAAGGAGTATCTCTCCTCCATCTACGATGAAATTGCAGGCAAGAAGATTGCCATGAAAGAGAGCAAAGAATACTCCATCACTCCCAAATCTAGTAAACAGAGTAAGAGCCTCTCAACAAAATACCTGTGTAATTTCCTTTGATGGAATTGAATAAAACCCTGTTGAATGCTGACATGAGCTATTTGTCCTCCTGTTAGATGTAGCCAATGAGAAGCAGAGAAGGCTGCTGTATAACATGGAGATGGAGCAGATGGCCAAAACGGCTAAAGCTCTGATGGAGGCTGTAAGTCACGCTCAGGCTCCCTTCTTCAGTGCCACTCACCTAGAGCACGTCCGGCCAATGTTCAAGGTAATGCCACATGTCCAATAAACCACGTCTTAACAGCTCCATGCTATTGAGTATTGGAACAGAAAGTCATTGTTAGGTCAAAAGGATCACGAGCAGGTCATGGAGGAGATGATATGATCTGATACTGTTCCAGGATGTGGTTTCACACATCAGTCTACAAAAAGGTCAAAAGGAAATTAAACTCTGAAAGTATGTTTTGTGTGTGTGTTCATTTCTCAGTATGTATGTTTATGTGTTTTGATCTATGTAAAACAGCTGGCCTGGACTCCTCTGTTGGCGGCGTTCAGTGTAGGACTCCAGGATTGTGACGATCAGGATGTGGCATCTCTTTGTCTGGAGGGGATCCGATGTGCTATCAGGATCGCCTGCATCTTCAACATGCAGGTTTGTGTTTATACACTTTTCATATGGCAAATCATACTATTTAATTTAGTTCTTTCTGGTCTTATTTTCTTCTCTATCACTCTCTTTTCAGTTGGAGAGAGATGCCTACATCCAGGCCTTGGCCCGGTTTACGCTGCTAACAGCCAGCTCAAGTATCACAGAGATGAAGCAGAAGAACATTGACACCATAAAGACTCTCATCATGGTCGCCCACACCGATGGAAACTACTTGGGCAACTCCTGGCATGAGGTGGGCATCAGAGCATGTAAATGGAGTTGAGCATAATGTCAGCAATCTCTTCAAAGTGTGCTGTAATTACTCCAAATCCACTCCTGGTTTTCCAAAAATATTTTATCCAGCTAGACAGTATAATCTTTAGTGACAAATCAGCAGAATTTGCAACAGAAATGAAGAATACATAATAGAAAACTGGCCTAAAACACTGTCACACTCACCCCAGACCAGCAGGTCATCCAGGTCATTTTGTTGAGCCCTGCAAAGTCATGCAACTCCACTCCATGCAGGGGCATAAACCCCTGCTCTCCTCAAACTATTGATCTGCTGAAGTTGTTTCCAGCCTCAACATATCTGCCTGCTCTTTGTTTAGATTCTGAGGTGTATCAGTCAGCTGGAGTTGGCCCAGTTGATTGGGACAGGGGTGAAGACGCGTTATATCTCCGGTGTGGTCCGGGACCAGGGAGGCAGCATAAAGGGCTTCCCATCAGGGGGAGAGGAATTCATGCCTCTCGGCTTAGGTAAGCCATTGTACGACTTCAGTTAATAGCTCATGGATGGGGCCGAAGAGTTCAGCCTGTTTATTGTTTGTTTATTGGTGTGTGTGGACGATGTTCTTATGGAGCAAAACAATGTTATTGGTCTCCTGCAGGTACTCTGGTTGGAGGTCCAGACAAGCGTCAGATGGCTCATATCCAGGAGTCAGTGGGGGAGACCAGCTCTCAGAGTGTTGTGGTGGCTGTGGACAGGTGCATTGAAATCACAGGACAATACAAACATCGCTGTTTATGTTTCCTTGTCTGACCTTCCGTCTCTGTTTTGTGTGCTAGAATCTTCACTGGATCCACCAGGCTTGATGGAAATGCAATTGGTAGGGTTTTTGTTTTAATGTAACAACATTAGCATTGAATTTTTTAAGGGGGTAATATATTTTAAAGGGATGGTTCACTGTTTTTTTTCTAGGCTTGATTGTGTTTATGGGGTGCAGTCTAACGTGTTACTGCTTTGTTTAAAAAAAAACGCATTATTTTTCACAAAATTTCCTTTATTCCACACCGCTCTGTCCCTTCTCTGAGAAACGTGCTGATCATTTCCTGCTTACATGAAGCCCCTCGCTCAGAAATAGGCGATGGGCTCTGATTGGTTAGCTAGCCCAGTGTGTTGTGTTAGCCCAGTGTGTTGTTATTGGCTCAACCGTCTCTAGTGCGTTTCTTAACGTCCCGCCCCTCACCTCAGCGGCATGTGCTCCGGTTGTATTCTAAACAGCTGCATCGTTAATATCGCTTATCAGTTTGAGCCCGATTGAGAAGCAAGAGGATTGTGCAGAACCTGTGCAAGCACGGCTTTTAATGGTGGTAGGCCTAAGTTTTTTGTTTGTTGTCTCATACTTTTAGATATGCTGTTATTTGTAAATGCAACTGCTTATGTTAGCTTTTAATATATGGTTTTATCATGATTAAAACTTTAATACAGTATGGCAACTGTTTAACGCTTCTCATAGCTATGTGAAAATAAGTGTATAAATGGAACAGTTCATTTTTGGAGCTGAGCTGAATGAGAGCGAGAGAGAGAGATGCAGAGTGTGTGCAGAGCAGGGGGACGTGAGGAACAGTATTAAGAACCGCTGCTTTAGAACATTGATTTTGAAACTTGTGAATCCATTAGAATCGTTAGAAGACAGAATCGCGATTCATATATGAATAGATTCTTACGTGCAGCCGAACATTGATTTTGAAACTTGTGAATCCATTAGAATCGTTAGAAGACAGAATCGCGATTCATATATGAATAGATATTTACGTGCACCTCTAGTTTTCTCTTCCTCTTCTCTAAAGCAGCGCAGCATGGCCTCGCCCCCTTTGCTGCCTTTTCCCGAGGGCGGGGTTTATCTGGGTTTGTTACGTCACGAACCCGGGAAGTAACTTGTTGTAGTCCCTACCAGCCATTTTTGTAGGCATTTAACTGCCAGAATTTTAAGACTATATCTCCGTTTGCATTGAACTTTCAGCTTCCTAACTTTGCAGATATTGTTTATGCTCAAACAGCAACATTACACACTAACTAATGTTAAAAAAGTGAAATCGCAATCAACCACCCCTTTAAATATACACTACCGTTCAAAAGTATGTAGTTGGTGAGTTGTTTATTTACTTATTTTTATATTGTTGAAAGAAGTCTCTTATACTCACTAAAGTAATATTATGAAATATTGTTACAATTTAAAGTAACTTTTCTATTAGTATAATTTGAAATGTAATTTATTCCTCTGATGGCAAAGCTGAATTTTCAGTATCATTACTCCAGTCTTCAGTGTCACATGATCCTTCAGAAGTCATTCTAATATGATGATTTGCTGCTCAAGAAACATTTATTATTATCAGTTTTGAAAACAGTTGTGCTGTAAACTGATGCATTTGTTTAGGATTTTTTGATGAATAGCAAGTTCAAAAGAACAGCATTTATTTTAAAGATGTCTTTACTGTCACTTTTGATCAATTTCATGCATTCTTGCTGAATAAGTATTGGTTTATTTTAAAGAATCTTACTGACACCAAACCTTTGAACGATAGTGTAACTATCAGATGATATAATTTATTTATTATTACAGCAGTATTTATCTTGCACAAAATCAATGAGGGTCTCAATTAGCTACAGGATGTGAGAGCACAAACTTGAACAAATAAATTGACATTTATTTAAAATGCTCTAATTTCATTCGAAAACATGGTGATCAATGTTCCCCAATGCTGCAAATGAGAGAGAGAAAATGCTAGGGGTTTGATTTATAGAGAGGTTCAGTTTGTAGTTGTAAAACATGGAAAATAATTAGCATTGATTCCTTCAGGAATTAAATGGTTTTTAAAGTAGCAGTTTTGAGTTTATGTACAAAATAAGGTCTATATGTAATATTATATGAAAACGTTTTGTTCTACCACAGTAGTTACATAGTCAAACCCTGAATGTGAATTTTGAAGCAGTTGTGTTGCTAAATAAGGACTACTGCTACTACAAGGATGAAAGTTTACATGTTTCACAAATCAAACTGTTGGTAGTCCTTATATATGCACTATACAATGTGAAATAAAATTTTGCGTCATGCTACAGCATTACTCATTGGGAAAAAATTGCTTGTTACTGGAAAGCAACACTATTTTGAAAACAATTGAGCTGCTGTCACGCAACTGAGAAGTGTAGCTAGGTTATTTGCGTCGCTACATGTAGTAAGTTAATAACCCAACACTGTTTGAGAGCATATGTGTGGGTTGATTATGTGGAAAAAGATACTTTTAATTCTACTCACGTAAACTTGAGTCAGTTTTGGTTGTATTTACTAAGAAATTAACAGGAACAGCTGCATTCTTAACATATCTTTAGCTCCATGAGCAACGGAAAATCAGTATGTTTTTAATGTGTAAGTGGGGCGTCCATGCTATTATCCTTTTCACCATAGCTTGGGTTTTTTCCTCATAGTCTATTCATTCATTTGGTCCATTATATCATAAAGAAGTGACTTACAAGGGGTGGGGTTGTTCAGTCAGAATTGCTTCTGGATCTCTGTTAAACAGGGTTGCCAAGTTCACAGTTGTTGTTTTTTTTTTTGGGGGGGGGACTGAAATAGTTGTATTTATTTTACATTCAGCCAATAATAAAGCTGTGCTAGATTATGGGTTTTTGAAGGAGGGGCTCTGGTTTAGCGCTTTTATGAAAACAGACATGTTTGATGACTACTATAGTGATTTTTGAAGTAAAATTATGTATAATGCATAAAACAGTGACTATAAATTTTGTATTTTAGGAAAATTGAGAATTGTCCAGTTTAATTTCATGTTTTGTACATTCTATTGAATTCAGAAGTCACAAACTTCCCTGATCCGTGTAATACATACACACATGGTTCCATGACGGAGCTTCTCTTTGGTGAAAGACAGTTGGCCTTTTTGGTTCTTAAAAATTATGTAAGAATTTGCAAATATATCACAGCTCAGACAATGTTAGCAACAACATGAGCTATTAAAATAAAGACTTTTTCTATAATATTTCTATAATACATAATAATTGCTACATGTTTTGGTTGTAGGTGTATGAATAGTTGAAAATGCTCTGTTTCAGACTGTTTGGGTGGACACAGATTATTTTATTATTTTATCATGTATTCTAACCAGTAGGCAACTGCCACATGAAATGGCCCTCTGGACAGACTCAATCCAACCCACTTTGATTTACTTTCACACTTGCTGCACACAGATACTCTGTTCTAAACTAATGTGTTCTTCCAGTAGACAGTGGACATGTAAATATTGTACCTGGGGGCAAAATGTCACTGAGATTTGTGTTAATTGTAAACTCTGCTCTATCTCCAGTGGACTTTGTGCGTTGGCTCTGTGCGGTGTCCATGGACGAGCTGGCCTCTGCTCACCAGCCGCGCATGTTCAGTCTGCAGAAGATAGTGGAGATCTCCTACTACAACATGAACCGCATCCGTTTGCAGTGGTCACGCATTTGGCAGGTCATTGGAGATCACTTCAACAAGGTCTGTAGCCTTACCTAAAGGTGCAGTCATATTTACTGCTGTTCTGTGAATATTTGTTGTGAATTTTGCATCAGGTTGTTCAGTTTGGCCACTCTGATTCGCTGTGTTGACCTTTTTTTGCATGCAAAATTTTGCTAATGTGACCGCACCTTCAAGGTGCCAGTGAAATGTTTTTTTCTAGATAAGATAATCAGTAAAACGGCTGTCTGATTGTGTTTTATTTCTGGTTTGGCAGGTGGGTTGTAATCCTAATGAGGATGTGGCCATCTTTGCTGTGGACTCCCTGAGACAACTTTCTATGAAGTTTCTGGAGAAAGGAGAACTGGCCAATTTCCGCTTCCAGAAGGACTTTTTAAGGCCATTTGAACACATCATGAAGAAGAACAGGTGAGGAAAGGAGAGTTAGAAATGTGAATGATTGAAAAGATAAAGAAATGAGGCAAATTGCTGCTGCATGATGAAACATGTTAACTTTAAACACTGGTGGAGTGTGTAATTTTCAGTAGGGATGCACAGAAATTTCCACCACCGAAAATGGCATTTCGGTTTTCGGCCAAAAGAGGAAAAAAAGGCCGAAAATTTGAGCTGTAAATAAACGGTGCGCCACACCACCCAGCAGTGTTCAGCACGCAGGTTTCACTCTCCCTCTAGCTGTGTCGTGATGCTCCGCTCTATGAATGTGCGTTCTGTTGAGTTGCTCACAGCCCATGCAAACTCTCCACTCGTGTACCACTCATGCTCACCGGAACCGTAAAGTCCACTTAACGTGCCGACGGGAGATTTCTATGTAGTATACTTGCTCATGTTTGCAATAGCACTACTGTGCTGTATGTAACATGCAACGCTGGTAAAATGACGCTACCATCTCGTTCACTGATCTGCTCCCAGCTATGCTCTGCTCACATGACTCTGATAATAATAGCTTTGTAGGACTATACATTATTTGGATAATTAGTCAAAAAAAAAAGTTGTATCTGATTCTGTTTGATTTTCTGTCCGATTTTATTGTGTTACTTTCAATAAAAGTGTGGTTATTTTATTGGCCTGTGTTTTTTAAATTCAGTATCATTAAAAATATTTAGTTAAATTACAAAGTTATTTTATTGGCTTGTGTTTTTTAAAAATTCAGTATCATTAAAATTGAGTTAAATTAAAATTCTTACAAAATTACTTTGTATTATTTAATAAAATAATAAATAATTATTACAAAGCAGTTTCGGGTTTTGGCCAGTTGCATCCAGAATTTTCGGTTTCGGGCCAGAATTTTCATTTCGGTGCATCCTTAATTTTCAAAGGTAAAATGTTTTGTTATCCCAGCTGATTATGCAGAAGCACCTGTAAGTAGGCCATTTGTAGGTTGTTTTCCCCAAAAAAACGTTAGACTGGCTTAGGGCTGCATGATTTTTTTCCCCCTCTTGAAAAAAATTGAGATTGTGATTTAAAATGCAATTTTAAAAAATTACGGGTTTGCTGTGATAGTTTGTGACAATTTGGTGAAAATGTTGTCATTATATATCAGTACGGTTCTAAAATAATATTATTACTAAAAAAAATAGAAAAATTACTAAATAAAAACTTTATATATATTATTGTAATATTTTACTGTAAAAAAAATACTATTTAAAAAAAATGTTACAACAATACATTTACATAAACTAATATTTAATTACCATTATTTAATATTTAATTAATTTTCAAACGTTAAACCATCAGACTTTTGTTTTGATGGAAAAACCACATGCAGACCTTACACGGCACATATATTTCTTTAAATAAATTGCAACCTTTGCCTTTTAAATAAATGTATGATTTCAGTTTTATTTTGATTAATTATGCAGCCCTAACACTGGCTCTGTGGTGCCATCAAAACTCAGTTTGAGAGACACAATCAGTCTGACACAGCAACATTAGATGATTCAATAGCAAGATTGGGGCAGAACTATCAGTTTGTCTGATTGGTGAAATATTCAAGGAAACCTATCTGAAGTCATATTTTTCCATTTTAAGCCATGCATTTCAGTTTCTTCTGCAGTAACTTCTTCATCCATTCTAAAGGTCGCCCACTATCCGGGACATGGTGATACGTTGTGTGGCCCAGATGGTGAACTCCCAGGCTGCTAATATTCGCTCTGGCTGGAAGAACATCTTCTCTGTGTTCCATCAAGCAGCATCAGATCATGATGAGAACATTGTGAACCTCGCGTTTCAAACCACAGGACACATTGTTAGTAAGTACCGGAAAATGTACATTATTTTCCATATTGTACTTCCATATTGAACATTTAAAAACAAAACATCATTCTCATGTCTATCCTTTGTTTCCTCACAGTGAATACATTTCAGCAGCACTTTGCTGCAGCCATCGACTCTTTCCAGGATGCAGTCAAATGTTTGTCAGAGTTTGTATGTAATGCTGCATTTCCTGACACCAGTATGGAAGCCATACGGCTCATCCGCCACTGTGCGAAATATGTGTCTGACAGGCCGCAGGTGAGTGCTGTCACCTCAGCTTTTGTTACCCATGACGACTGAGCTTCAAAAATTACATTTTAGTCACTTTTCCCTTTTCCAGGCACTGAGGGAATACACTAGTGATGACATGAATGTGGCCCCTGGCGACCGCGTTTGGGTGCGAGGCTGGTTCCCCATCCTGTTTGAGCTTTCCTGCATCATCAACCGCTGCAAACTAGACGTCAGGACCAGGTGGGTCCCCATCTTTAACCCTGCTATGGTCTTCACTTTGATACAAAGAAATGATGTGGATGTTTGGAGCTTATTCTGAGAGTGTTTGTGTGATGCAGGGGTCTGACTGTCATGTTTGAGATCATGAAGAGTTATGGACACACCTTTGAGAAGCACTGGTGGCATGACCTCTTTCGGATCATCTTCCGAATATTTGACAACATGAAGCTCCCAGAGCAGCAAACTGAAGTGAGTATCAATCTTTAAAACTTTAATACTACCAGCGTTGCAAAGTAACTTTAGCAACGCTGCTAACCTATCTACATTTTTGATAAAGTGATAGTAGCTCAACTGTATTAAAAATACTTCAGCTTTTCCAATAACAGGCCACTTTTTTCCATTAAGTAGCAGTATAGCAAGACAAAATGTTACATCACCGTTTTTGTCACATTATCTTGTACATGCAGCCTTCGAACTGAGTGAGCTGAAGTAATAATCAAACATGCTTCACTAACATGCCTATTAGAGCAGTAGCACTGGGAAGTGCTCATTTCAAGTCTGTTGGTTCAGTGTGTTCATTTTAATGAACAAAAACGGTTCACCGAGTCAATTGAATCATTAATTTGGTTTTCAGTTTGGTTATATAAACGTAGATTTTAATATTTTTTTGTGCGTATTTATCTAATTTGAGTGTTAATATTACATTTGAATGCGTTCTTCCTAGTTGATATACTTGATAAATATTGATATTTTCAACTGATTAATGTAATCTGATCTAATTTTAAAAATATTCCCCCTTATATAACTTTTATTAGCTTTTCCATTAGTTGTATCCACCTTATTGTTAACTTAAGAGCAGACGCGGTTATTTGTAAATTGAATGTGCTAGGCACTTTGTTATTCTTCTAGCTATAGTGGCTGATAAATCGAAAGTCTTGCATATTGATAGGAAATATCTTCCACATGGTAAAATAAGATGGATGCATTACATGCATGTTTTTTCTGTTACAGAAAACAGAATGGATGACAACAACATGTAACCACGCCCTCTACGCTATCTGCGATGTGTTCACACAATTCTATGAGCCTCTCAGCGAGGTGCTGCTGGCGGATATTTTTGCACAGCTGCAGTGGTGTGTGAAACAAGGTGAGGATTTCTCTAATCTGTTGCGCTAATCATGAGGGAGAGTTTAGGAGTTTTAAGACATTGCCCTGCTACTTGCTGTACTTCATTCCAGATGGACATTTCAAATGTGACACCTACACATGTCACATTTGGAGAAACATATTGGCCCAGTGGGTGGTAGTGTTTTAAATCAGCAGGGTGTGGTAATACAGGGAAAGTGTTAGTGTGTTACACTCACAACTCCGCCTCTGTTCTCAGATAATGAGCAGCTGGCGCGGTCAGGCACAAACTGTCTGGAGAACCTGGTGATACTGAACGGGGAGAAGTTCAGTTCAGAGGTGTGGGACGTCACCTGCGCCTGCATGCTGGATATCTTCCAGACCACCAGCCCTCATGCGTATGACACTCTTGCACACCACCATCTGTTTCAATGACACTTAACGACCTTCCGTCTGGATGTGTTTTGATTAGAGTTGTCAATCGATCTCAAAAAAATTAAATACACCAAAACGATCAAATAAATTACATGATATGCTAATTAATCTCAATAAGTTTCAGAATATTTTGTATTTTCTAGCTAAATCTGAAAGGATTTTTTTCCACTTTTTTGGTCTGTCAAGACACACCAACATATTCCAACTCTTGACAGATGTTGACATGACCACTGATACTGAAATCAGAGAGTGTTTGAACAGGCTGTTCAGGCTCCTGTAGCTCTGCTTATGAAATGCTCTCTCAGTTTGGTTCTGACTTTGCTCTTAACAGCTTGCTGACATGGAGACCAGCTGGACAGGAAGAGGAGGTGGGAGAAGGGAAACACATGGTGAGATCACAGTAACATAAATAAATATTGTGAATACACACACAAATAATAAGCCACAATCAAGCACTTATAAGCCCTTATTCTGTCATACATTGTGTCCTACGTTCTGCTAACACTAAGACACACCCACCAGGCTTTGCTTGCTATTTATAGTAGACATTTACATATAAGGCTCTGGTTTTAATATGCATGTGTGTTTGTGTCTGTGTTTTTTAGGATGTTGAGGTTGATTCTCAGTCGCAGAGCAGCTTTGAGAGGACTCTTTCAGAGAGAGGACACAGTCAGATGTCCACCGCCAGTGATGAAACCTGGAAAGGAAAATCCCAAACCAGTACGTACAGCTGCAATGCAAAAGTAACAGTGAAGACTTTATAATGTCATAAAAGATTTCTACTTCAAATAAATGCTGTTATTTTGAACTTTATATACATTAAAGAATCCTCAATTCCACACCTTTGAAGTTTCAATAGGATTCACTCTTGTACTGAGTTTCAAACGTAACCTTATGCCACACAGCTCGCCTATTTTGTCCAAAATATAAAGAAGTCTGATAAGGTGCCGAAGCCACATAATCGTTTAGAGTTTGCACCAACAGCCACATTCTCTTTGAACAATATGACCTCTTCCTCTTTTAAAGTCGGCAGTAAACTGAAATCACAACCGACTTCTGTTCTCTACTGTGATATATATCCAAGTGAAACTGCTTATTGAACAAGAAGAAAGTTATGTTGCAGGAATTGATTTTGGTCATTGACAAATAAATGGAGGCTGTTCTGAATGTGAAATAAAACAACACTGGACAACCTTGTTGCCAATCCCTCGTGCCATTTTACACATCACTTTTCTGTCCAGAGTTCTCTGTCCTCTGACTTTTAACATGTTACTCTCTTACTCCGATCTAGGGGTCTCGGACCACAGGCTGTTTGCAGGGCTTCTTATAAAGTGTGTCGTACAGCTGGAGTTGATTCAGACCATAGACAACATTGTATTCTACCCGGCTACCAGCAAGAGGGAGGATGCTGAGAACATGGCCGCTGCTCAGGTGTGTTCACATAACCTCTGTTTGAAAGTAAACTCCATAAACGAATCTTTTTTTTACGTGTGAACAGTCCTTTATGGTGTTGATACCATGGCTTAGTTATAGCATGCTAAACTTAAGTGTCTTCTGTTCTGTCTCTGTGTGTTTCCCAATAGCGAGATGCACTTGAGCAAGCAGAAGAGGGAGAGACAGAGGCCGATCAGGGCATGTACAGACACCTGTCATCACAGCACCTCTTCAAACTGCTTGACTGCCTCCTTGAGTCCCACAGGTTTGCCAAGGACTTCAACTCCAACAATGAGCAGAGGACAGCACTCTGGAGAGCAGGTCCGCGCTCTCTTATTTCCTTGTCTGGGTTGTGGTAATGCTGTCATTTATAGGAGACTGTCTTTTTTTATTGTGTCTTTTATTATTCTTGCATGTAGGCTTTAAGGGGAAGTCAAAACCGAATCTTCTGAAGCAGGAGACCAGCAGCCTGGCATGCAGTCTGAGGATCCTCTTTCGCATGTACGCCGACACACAGCTGCAAGACTCCTGGCTAGACATCCAGACACGCCTGCTGCAGTGAGTGCTGCCTTCTGCCTCGTTCATTAATCACACCCGCTCACCAAGCTCAACACAAAGACAGCTGCTTTTATACAATACAGTCTGTGCTACGTATTCAGATGCACCTATTATTTGAAGAAATTGTACGAGTTGATTCATTTTTATTTTGTATGATTATTTCAATTATAGTCACATCATGAACATGATTTCAGAGCATTAAATATAGGTGCTGCACTCAACCCTGAATGTGTAATAATCAGATCAGTTGTATGACTCTTAAAAAAGCAGTAGGAACTGTTTTATGTAAAACATTGAGGGATGAGTCACATAATCAAGTTCTCTGATTTACATATGCTGTATGGGAAGGTATCGGGACAGTAATGATATGTGTGTGTTTGATTTAGAGTGTGTAGTGAAGCCCTGGCTTACTTCATCAGTCTTACCTCAGAGAGCCACCGGGAAGCCTGGACGAGCCTCCTGCTGCTGCTCCTCACCCGGACACTCAGACTGCCTGATGACAAAGTAATAACATACATAAACAAACACTGAACCAGAACATTAGATGCAGGGCCCAAAATTAACTTTTTGTCTCACCAGCCAATAAATATTTCATACCAGCTATGAAACTACCAGCTATTTTGGGGGGGGGGTGTATTGTTTTATTAAAATAATAATAATATATTTTTTTCTTTTTACATTTGGAATATTCAACATATTTGGCACCACGTGGAGTTTATGATATTACATTTTTCACTTAGCTCAAAGAGTCACAACAACACGTTTTATGTCTTTTTTTACAATTCAACTCGAGGTTCCTGATTAGATGGTGCACTTTTTGTGCTTCATGTTGAGTCAGACATTAAGTTGACATCCAGTTGGGATCAGCCACTAGATCTTGGTTTTATATTGTAAAATATTGACATGTTCCATGTAAGAGCAAAAATAGTGTCCTTATTAACCATACAGGTGAGTATGATAATTAGCCAATGGGTGTTATTTCCTGTAGGAAAAGTCTTGTTTTGGATATCTCTCTTATCCTTCCTTCAGGGGTCTGAGTTAAGGCTTTTATTACAGGAAGCACTCTGCTGAAATGCCAGCTTGTCAGTGTGATGACCTTTATATGTAAGAGACCTGCGCTATTACGCAGACAAACTACTAGCAGCCCTGGGGATCTTCCCTGTCCATAACTAAAATACACTTTCCCATTCATCACTCTTCTGATAATATCAGGTTTTCCCAGCGGCGTTCCACTCCAGATTGACACTCTGCTAAAAGGTCTTTAAGGGAAACCCCTAACTGAAAAGATTTAAAGGATAGTTTACCCAAAAATGTAAAATACCCCTTGATTTACTCAAGCTATCCTAGGTGTATATGATGATCTTCTTTCAGACAAATACACTTGGAGTGTCCTGGCTGTTCCAAGCTTTATCGTTTTGTACTTCTAATTTGTATGTCTAATTTATTGCCATTAATTGTGGTCGAGATTTTGAAGTCCAAAAAAATGTGCATCCATCCATCATAAAAAGTGCTCCACATGGCTCCGAGGGGTTAATAAAGGCCTTCTGAAGTGAAGCAATGCATTTATGTAAGAAAAATATCCATATTCAAAACACAGTACACCTACGTGCTACATCATCCGCTGGAACGCCACTCTCTCGTAAACACGCATACGACAGTTAGCAGAAGCTAGAGATTACGGATTGTAAAGTTGTAAATATGGATATTTTTCTTACATAAATGCATCACTTTTCTTCAGAAGGCCTTTATTAACCCCCTGAGCCGTGTGGAACTCTTTTTATGATGGATGGATGCAGTTTTTTTGGGCTTAAAAATCTCGACCACCATTCACTGCCATTATAAAGCTTTGAAGAGCCAGGACATTTTTTAATATAACTCTGATTGTATTCATCTGAAAGAAGAATGTCATATACACCTAGGATGGCTTGAGGGTGACTAAATCATGGGGTAATTTTCATTTTTGGGTGAACTACCCCTATAACACTTTAAATTAAATGTAATTAAATTTCAAATAAAGTAATATAAAATAAAATGGCGTCAGCCCATGAATGTCTAACATTGTCATCTCTCTTTCAGTTCAAGCCTCATGCCTCCTGCTACTACCACCATCTGTGTGAGATGATGCAGTTTGACCTCATTCCAGAGCTTCGTGCTGCTTTGCGGCGATTTTTCCTTCGCATCGGCTCCGTCTTCCACATCGCCACTCCTGAATTGGGCAAAGCTCAGCGTTCATCATCATAATGTGGATCAAAACTGGGAACACAGATCAGTGATGAACTGGGAAGAAAGCGGGGCTGTAAAGTGGATGGATGGTCTGCGTGTATAAGCCTCTGCTGTGATTTGAAGGACTGTACAGGAACGCAGAATGATTGCGTGTGACTGTCCCATACTTTCTTCTGACAGTCCTGACTCATTGCTGCCAGTCACTCCTCTATGAGAGAACAGCACTGTGACCCAGCAGGGTGACTCTTCTGCTGTGTCATCTGTCTGTGTTGTTAAGAGTCATGAGTCATATTTGTTTATTTTTATTTGGACTTTCTTCTGGATGGCTACGAAAATAATTTATTACCAGTACTGCTGTATATCTGGTTTCTGATCGTCTGTTGATTTCATTGTTTTGGCTTTTGTCCTATCTGTAAATTTTTGTCTGTTTTAAAGGCTGAAGAAAGATAGACATACAGAAATGAGATCATCCTGTTATTAAGAGCATGTAAATGACACCCAATGTGCAATGAGCTTGTGCCATTGAATAATGGCATATTTGTTAACGATTTGTTAAGGTCCAAAAATGCCCATTATCAATGTCCTTTATTGATTCATCATACAATTAAACAATTATCTCTGATTTAAATTCACTCAAGCAACCTACAGAGGTGTTTGCATTTAAAATGCTTATAGTTTGGGGTAAAAGACTTTAATTTGGTTTCGGTGTGTTCACACTAAACCCCAAATTGTCCTAAGAATGTAACGGTTGCTTTCAAAGCATTTGGTGTTTATTTTACATGTCGATGCTTACGCTTGCTAATCCAGACCAGGCAGACACTACCATTTCTTCTATGCCACACATCATGCTCATTTGGTTTCCATCATATTCAGATTTATTGCCTTTTTATTTTTTTTTAAGGGTTTATTCATTCATTCTTTTCTTTTTTTTTTGGTTCATATTTATCATTGAAATCTTAAGACACCTAATGAATATTTAATTTTAGTGCACTAAAGTTTGCTTAATAGATTTTTTTTAAAACTATTCATTTTTCAAGTGCTGTTCACTCTTGATTTGGAGTCAGACTGAATCAGTTTACGGGATGGATGCCAGTCACTGATGATGAATGGCATCAGTGTTCATTACCATAAAACAAGTGAAGTGGGAGAAATACAGGAATACAAATGTACTGTATAATCCAGGTATATCTTCATTAAACCCCAGCAACATATGACTTATTAGTGTATTACCCTTGTAGATTCAACTCCCGATTCATTTTCATTAAGGATGCATTTCATTCTTGAAGTGCATTTAAATATTTTCTGAAAAGCATTCCTTCCCTTGCAACTATGGATGTCTACTTTGCTTCCCTTGAGACTGGGAAATATAAATATATATAGTATATGAAGAAATACAATGTGTAAAGTTTTCATGTAAAATATACAGAATAATGTTAAACTGTATACATATTGTGATGTAATCTTACAAGCATTTGGTGAAGTAATCAATAAAGTTTGAAATTCTGAACCATTGAATTTTCTCCTGTAGATGTTGTTTCTTTTATATTAAGGTTTTCAAAGAGGGGTCTAAAACTGAGTTTTCTTATATTTTTATGGCATTTCTCTTACCGAATTTCTGTCTGTCTAACGATCTAAAATGCATATATAATGTAGTAATGTTTGTTCGTTTACACTAGGGGTCTCTTGTTTGAACGAGAATCTGGGTGGAGGGTCCCTGTTGTTTAAAGATAGAAAACCTCTGCTTTATATCATGACAACACCAGCATATCAAACGAAGAATTACATTTGAATAAAGCGAAGATTTGTATTCATTTAAATGCGCCACAGGGTGTCGCTGTAACAGACGCCTCACGCGCGTTTTGGGGTAACAAAGGTTACCATAGTAATCCTGCCACTATTTGTTTAGTGAGCTCGAGTCGTTTACGGCTATCTAAAATGTACATTCATAACGTCAGTTAAGTATGCATATCCAAATATTTGTAGTTATACGAAGAAAGTTATTGAGAGGGATTTATATCAGACCCCATAATGTGTAAAAGTTGCAGTTACACTGAATGGCGCGTCTCAACATTTGAAAACATAATCGAATGTTGCTTTTCAAATGATAATAAGCTCTAATTAACGACCCTGGAGTGACTAAAATAGTTACTCCGTAAGCTAGCATACTCAGTCCACATCTGATGTGTCTGGTGTAATGTATGAGTAGGCCCTTAGTTTAAAGAGCAGCTCTGAAGGGGCGGACCTGAGCGCTGCTGAATGCTCTGAGCTCTGAATGCGCGGCTGACGGCGGCTCTACACCGAATGCGCTCTGGTCGAGGAGAAACAAGCCGACATCGATCATGCGGGAGAATTTGCCTTTACAAATATCCGAGTAAGTACCAAAGGTCTGCGATTCGGTCTGAAATGTGAGCTTTATCTTTATACCCGCTTCCAAATGATTTTGTGTTTCCCTGTACAGCCAGTCCATCTTCCATGACGCTAGCTACACGGCTAACTAGCCGAAGGGGGAAAGATTGACGTAGTTGGCTTGAATTTTACAGGAAATGCATGCTTGGCCAGCAAGAACCATCAATTATATAGGGCTTGTTATTAATTTGCTCTCTTGCTAGTATATGGTTTTTCTCATGACTTATATGCGTGCAGAAATGCATTAAATGCATTGCATTCATTCGAAAATAAAACATAAGTGGTGTGTTTAATTTTACTTACGTGCGTAAATCATGTATGCTGACCGATAAAAGATTACAACATTTTAAAATAATCTACATCCAGCGTTTCTCCTCAGTTTAGACAGTGCGGCATTTGGAGAGCTCTCAGGCTCTGCTTGTGATCAGCGGCAATGTTTGGCTGATAATTACGAATTTGGTCCTTATATGTGCGTTTTCTCGGACTGCAGTGATTCTGTGAGATCACTTCTCTGAAGGTTTGATGCGTCTTGCACTACAGATCTGACTGGTTGTTTCCGCTCGGCCTCTGCTATGGGCCCGAGAACGGAGCCTTTATTACGTAATGGTTGGGTAGGCAGCTACTGAGAGAGAGCGTCATTTAGGTGATCATATCCTATCACAGAGAGGGGAGGTCTGCTTTAAAGAGAAATATCCAGCACTGGCTCGTTTTTTCCTCATACAGTATTACTTTTGATCTGCCGCAGTTTCCATTTGATATTGTCGCTTAATCTATAACTAACATTCACATAAACTCACTGGATTGTTTGTTTGGTTGTCTTAATCTACGAGAGGAGTAAGCAGACTGTGTTTTGGTAAGCTGAATGCTCTTTTACTCTCCGTGTTGTCATTATCTTAAACGTTGTCAATAAGCACGTTAACGTGTGATAAAGTAGAAAAATGTTGACGTTAGACTTTGTTTTAAGTAATTGCTAACTAGTTGGTCGATAAAAGATTAGGCTCGGTCTACATGCATATCTGTATATTAGCCACTACTGTATGTAGACTTTCCTTTAAGACAAAAAAATGTTGTTTCTTGAGAATCCTAACAAAACAGTGATTAACTTTGTGTTCGTCTGGGAGATAACGTTATTCATACACGCGGGGACTCTATGTGGGAATGTGCGCAGTGCTGCGAGCTGACATTGTGTTTGTAAACACACCGCGTGTCTCCTTATTAGAACCTTAAAGAATTCACTCTTGGAAGCGTCTGCTGATCAATCCAGCGACATCAGTAAGTGCGAGCACATCATGTAATAGACATAACATTACATATACAGTACTTGTGGAATAAAGGATGTGGCTCGTATTTTAGAGAATATGCGTCATATTCGGACAGAGTCATTTGTCATGAGTCATTTAAGTAGCATAATATGCGAATTATTATTTATTAATTTTTTATATTATTTTTTCCGCGACAAAAAAAGAGCAGCTTCTGGAATGTGCTCTGAGCCTCGTTGTCAGCACGTGTTTGGCTGATCCAGTGTTTCCTGAGAACTCTCGTGCTTTTCCCAGGAGCGGTCAGATAATGCACCGCGTCAACACCCGCGCTCGCGATGTGGTCAAAAAAACGAAATCAGCAAAAATTTCTCACTTAATCAATTTATTTAATAATAAAGTTATTTAAAAATCTCTTTACTCGTGAGATCTATCTGTCGTATCCAACCGTTCATCCATTTATAGTCTCAAAATGATTATCTTGTCTTGATCAGACGTTGTAATTCCTAAATTGCAATTATTTGTATTATTTGGAATTATTTTGTAATTGTATAGATTTGATCTGTATTAATACATTTATGCAATTATAAATTAATGTATTAATTTCAGTCTATTTTGTTTGTTTAGCAGAGATTATACAAATACATTAAGATTTTTTTAAGATTATACATTTACAAAACATTTTAAAAGGCGTTCCTAATGAAAACCGCCATGAAGCACTTGGGTATCTTTTGTCTGCGACTCTTGACTGGTTCTTCTGGCACCACAATTAAGGTCCGTTGAAATGAGGGAATCATAATTCTGGCCAAGCTGGCTGTTCTTGCCCCCTGCTGTTTAAAATTCACTCATGTCAAGGTCAGTGTACATTTAGTCATGTCTTGGACAAGGGGAGAGAGGATATTGTCCATGTTTTTAATTCGGAGGCAGGTGATGAGAGGCTACCATCTGTTCCTCTGATCAAGCCTCTACATTAAGTAAGAGGGCTTTAGAGGGTGAAAAAAAAAATGTTTATCTTCAGTGCCCCTTAACCTCTTCCAAAGTTTCACCCTGACCTCCTCCTCTCCCTGTTTGTGAAAATGATTGCATATTTGCAGATCAATTCATTGCACTGTTGTCTTACCACAGGGTATGAGCCATTGCACCATCCCTGAGCGTCGGCAGAAGCCCGAGAAGGACACAAGGGTGTGCACTGTGTTCTAAGAACGAGCGAGTGGATATTCAGACATTGGAGGACGACGAGCAACAACGTGAATCATGTCTTACTATAACCGAGAACTGGTGGTATTTTTTATTAAATATAAACTCTCGCAGAGGAACTACCCCTACAACCACATTGAATTTACAGAAGACACAAATCGGACTGATGCGGCGGAAGGGAATGATGATGAGGCGGCAGCAGGAACGACGAACCTCATTAATGGCTCCCTAAACGGAACAAGTACTGGTTCCACTGGGACCCCACCAAGGTCCCCCACTTCAACCCCCCAGCATCAGACGAACGGGACTGGGGGTCTGGACGCTGTAAAGGAGGCGCTTCGCGATTCTGCCAACGAGTTTGAGCTGCGATATTCCCAAGCATTCAACGACCTGTCCTCGCAGCTCCACATCACGCCTGCCACGGCATACCAGAGCTTCGAGAGCGTGATGGATGAGGTGTTCCGTGACGGCGTCAACTGGGGCCGCATCGTGGGACTGTTTGCCTTTGGAGGGGCTCTGTGTGTTGAGTGCGTGGAGAAGGAGATGAGCCCACTAGTGGGAAGCATCGCGGAATGGATGACCGTCTACCTAGACAACAAAATTCAGCCCTGGATCCAGAGCCAAGGAGGATGGGTGAGTGGAAAGTTACTTGTATTTTTCTCCTACCCTGTTAGCTTTCTTCAGTTTGATCGCAAGCAGCCTCTATATATGTAATCTGTTTAGGTGTATGGTCTCAAATTATTTCCATCTAAAATTTTCCTGTTTGATCTGCAGATATCTGTTCATCGGATTTAAATCACCCTTGGTCAACCTTGATGTAAAAGAGTCTCTTTAAAGGACTCAACAAAGGAATAGTTTCCCAAAAATGAAAATTCTGTCATCATTTACTCACCGTCATATCATTCCAAAACCTGTAAGACTGGTTAATCTTCGAAAAAACTAATTAAGATATATTTAATGAAGTCTGAGAGGTTTCTGTTCCTCCAGTGAAAGTACAGGTAACCAAAACCTACAACATCCATAAAGGTAATAAATCTGTTGTAAATTGAATCCACATGAATCAAGAAGATCAAGGATTTTCTAAGGTTTAGTTGCCTGTACTTTCAATGGAGGGACTGAAAATTCTCAGGTTTAAAAAATAAAAATAAAAAGATAAAAAAAATTGTTTTTAAATATCTTAATTTTAGTTTTGAAGATTAAGTCCTATCGGTTTGGAACAACATGAGGGTTAGAAAATGACAGAAATTTAAATTTTTTGGTGATCTATCCCGTTAAGATTCTATTTTTTTTATTTTTTTTTTTTCCGTTGCCTTTTGACATTCAAATATTTTGTTAAGCTTTTAAAAGACTGTAATAGTCCAGGAAAAGTGGATATTATTGATGAAAGAGTGTGTTTCGCATGGCCAAATCTGCTGGCTCCCTTGGGTCCGGACGGGGGCTGTTTTTAGCGCCTACCCTCTCTTGGGTCTGGGTGGGGATGCTGTAACTCTGTGGAGGGGAAAGGAATGGGAGTTAAGATAGCAGAGCCACAGCCACTGGTCAGCTGATTATTGATTTCCGTAGTCTTAATTCCCAATTGAAACTTTACAGAATGGAGCAGTCATTAGCATGTGGGAGATGAGCACATATGGTTGAGAATGGAGGGGAATGCAC